AAAAGATCTCGGTGAAAGGGTAAAGAAATTTGGAGGCCAAGACTTCATGAAAGAATATTACTATAGAATAAAATAATTATAGGCACTACATGTGGCATCTTCCTTGTCAACAACTTCAGCATTGTTAACTTCTAAGATTTCAACATCTTCAATACCATTTTCCTCAAGAGATAACACATTAATCTTGTCAGCTTTTTACCAGTATGATGATCAGATTTCTTGAACTTCACATGCATCCATGGGCCATATGAAGTTTCATCAACATGAGCTAATTTCTTTGGGACATCCTTATCAGAAAGATTCATATTAGGACACACAGAAACTTTATGTCCAATCCTTCCACACTTGAAACATAGAGCCGATAGATTCTCATATTCAATTTTTTGAAAAAAAAATTCACTCAAACCTTCTATCCAAATTCCACAAGGTAGCTTTGTATTCAATTTAATCCGAATACAAGCTCTAGCAAATTCCCTTCTACCCCATTTAAACATGTTGTCGTCTAATAATAAAGGGGTTTCAACTTTAGAAATTATTTTTGTAATATTAGTTTCATCCCAACAATGAAGAGGCAAATGAGGAAGTCGAACCCAAATTGGTGAAGAAATTCCATCCATAGAAATATGAGAGAAAACAGGAGACCATTTGTTTATACCAATGATGAAACCTCCAACATACCAAGGACCTCCATTAAGGACTTCCTCCACGGCTTCAGATGACTAAAACGAGCACAAAAGCCAATCTAATCCAAGTGAGGTTATATGAAAGCCACCAAATCTACTCCATTGTCATCTTAATTCAAGACTACAAATAGAAAAAGGCAAATTCTTGCTAAGAATTTTAACAATCAAGGAATTCCTTAAAACTTGAACATTGGCACTTTCTTTCTCTGTATCAAGTTTTACCACATTTACATCCTCATTATCATCAGTAATTTCCTTCATATTTATTTTAAAATGTGGTTTTTTGACCCACACATTTGAATTTTCCCAAACAGGAGATAAGTTATCTCCAAACAAATTTGAAAAAGGATTTTTATCACTTTCATCACCAGGGATGTTAATATCAACATCATTCCCTTTCTCCAACAGACTATTCACTTTTAATTTAGATCCCGAAGATGAAGCCTCCAAATCGTTTGGTTTGGGAGGAAAACCGAAGCAGAATCCATTAAGGAAACAGATTTTTGACAATGCGACAAAGATAAAGAAAACTTATGATCCAAATAAGAAATAACTTCTTTCCCTTTCTCTCCATCAGGCAAAATCTTCCAATTTGAAACAGAACAACCTTCTATGATAACTAGAGGAGTATTCATGAAGTAGGAATTGCGAGACATGTTGCGATTGAAATAAAATCTACCTTTTGTATCCATCGGAGTTGGAAGCATGGCAGACACTGAGGATGAGCTGTACCGGTCATCAGAAGCTGACTGACGACCCTCTTCCACCATCAACGGCCACGGCAAGAGATTCGCAAATGAATTTGAACCAAATTGGGAAGGCCTTTTTGTTATCGAGAATATGTAGTAGGGATGAGCGAGCCTATCTACTCATCAAATATAGAAGGTCGAAGACCTATCTCCTGATCAATGGGTGATATCTGAAGAAGTATCATTCTTAGAAAAATGAGCTAAAGATCATTCTCTTATAAAGAAAGAAAACATTTCTAAGTTGTCTTAAAAATTATCCTATAAGATTGGGGGCATTTTTAAGTTTTAAAAATGCAAAAAATCTAAAGCAGTTAAAATTTTTTCTTTAAAACTGAAAGGATTTTAAATATTTATTTGGGTTAACAACGATTCTGAAATAAACATTTAAAATCAGTCATGGTGCTACCACTGCATAAATTACAAGGCAGAAGATGACACCTTCAAGGCTTCAAGCAAGCAAATATGTGATCATTACAAAAGTTGAAGACTCATTTCAAATTTGCCAAATTCCTGATGTTTAATTAAGGAGAATATTTAATCTGATAAACTCAACAAATCATGTTCAAAAAGCACAAACTATTATAATACAAGTCTAGTGCTTAAACAGGAATAATGTCAAACTCAGTAGGCTCAAATATGGCTGAGTCACTAACAGTTTTACCTACTCAATAAGTTATGATAAGAGGATGTAGTAAGAAAGCGTCAATTTCGTTAGCCCGATGAAAAATACTATCAAGTTATCAAACTTGACAAGTCAGAGCAATTCAGATTCATAGATTTCCTCAATTAACAAGTGGATTGAGGCGAAATTTAGAAGAAGAATTTCAATCAACTCAAAGGTACTAAGCCACAATCAAAACTGCTATCAAGTTAAAGGCATTATCCTTCAATAAATCTGTCAAGCACAAAGCTAAAATCGAAAGAGCTTCACTTCTCTAGCATGTCCGATAAAGCACAAAGCTTAGGACCGAAGAAGTCATACTACAGTCCTCATAAAGACATATTCCGAACTAGGGGGGTATCATTATCATCAAAATCAGTCATGCATAAAGCATTGGACTGATGGCAATTCACCATCGACCTAATGAAAGCCCAGAGGGTTTAGGTTACTAGCATACACTCCTTTGCCAAGCCCACCAAAGAATAAAGCTAGGGTAGAAGGTATATTTTAGTCCTGACAAATCGAGAAGATAAATCAGACAGCCTTCTTCATTACACCTGTTAAGATTGGATGCTAACGTTGATGAAGTATTTAAATCCTAACAAGTCAAGTAAGATAAATTAGGTCTTTAACAGGTCAAATAAGGAAAATCAGCACATCTAAATTATACATAGCATCAGATAAATGACATCCTCTATTAGCATACCTATTAGAGATTTGTAAAGATCCTCAGTGTGACATCTAAAATCTAATTTTTGAAGTCCGTAGGGTCAACCTATTTGCAACAAACATGATATGTTATAGAGGGCATATCAAAATTTTTGGAGGGGCATTTGATGACCTCTAATAGCCGACACTCCTTGCCTCACCCACGATCCCGCAATCACACAACATTCCCACTCATGCACATTTCGGCAACCGCCTCACACGATCTCATTCACTCGACAGAAAATCCCCTCACACGGAAAAACTCGAGACAAACGAACAATACAAACTTTTAAAGATTTTGGAAGCTTACCTCAGAAGAACGAAGCCCAAGCCACACTAGCCAATTAACCTCCAACTGTTGTACGCGACAAGCAAGACGACATCGGACCCGCTCCAGCCGTCTGCTCGACTTAAATCCCTCTGACCTCCAGCCACCTGCACTGGCCAGCCGAACTCCACCAACTACCGACCCTGCACCGTAGAGCTCATCGGCTTGCCATATCTGCCTCCAACCAACTACCACGAAGTGCCCTAGCTTGACGTATGCCCTCTCTCCCTCCCTGTTTAATATATGCGGGTATATATATTAAAATAAAAAAGGGAGGGATGAGATTTTTAAACAGGTGTTGAAGACTTGCACCGTCGACCTTAGGTCCAATAAAAAATGTTCAAATCGAGGACCTGCACTTTGAACAATGTTCCAGGCGGATGGTTTTAAATTAAAGCCCCTACGCCATTGATCTCTGATCTGTGTTAGGTGATTGTCAACTTTGAAGATCCTGGGTCATTGTATCTTAGATTCGGCCGAGATGATTTCAAATTGAAGACGCTACGTCGTCGATCTTTAATCCGGGTAGGATGGTTTAAAATTCAAAGACCTAGTGTCGTTGTATCTTAGATCCGGGTGGGTAGAACCAAAGGCAAGTGCCTCCCAACCTCCCCTCGTGGGAAGGGGATGCAGGGAGGTTGCCAAAATTGAACCTAACAAAGGACCTTTGCGCAATAAATTTTAAATAATATTTTGTCAATGCAAATAATTAAAATGTCATAAAAATATTTAATTAGTTGAGCAATCACATTAAATGGATTAAGTTAAACAATGTGATTCGACTTGTCATCATTAATACAACCAAGTAGGAAATAACATAATACATAACATCAAAATTTAAATAAAAATTGGGGGAATGTGATTGTTGCAATTACCCTTTTTGGTATGTGATTAAATATGGCTCATTCATGTGGGGCACATTATTGTCCAAAATTGCTTTCATCCGGTCTATTAAGGAAATAGATACAAGCCTGTTTGCAAGCAAATGTCAAATAGTCGATGTATGACACTCAGTAATCCTCTGCAAGCAGTAATGGTAGATACGCTGCAAGTATGTCGGTACTCTACAAATGCAGATATAAGGTCAAGTTTAAAAAATGTGGCGCGAGCCACTCTAATGAATTTTCTTTTCCATTATTTTGTTTCATTCTTTTTAATTTTTATTTCGTTAGTCAGCATCGATCTTGTTGAAAAAGTTTTAATTCATCAGTTAAAATAATTTTGTTAGTTCCAGAACTGTGTTTCAGTTTGTTCCTAAATGTTGAAATTTTAATAGCTATGCTTATATACTTATAGGCGAAGCCAGAGAGAACCATAGAACCGGGCTAAACCTTATTGGAATATCATTTTTCCTCATTTGTCTACCAGCTTGCGAATTCAATCCAGGACCGAACGAGAATTTTCCTATGAATAATCCTTACAACATCCAACATTTTCTGTTTTCTGCAGACCAGTAGAGCCAGCAGAGATACCAAAACGGTAGTAAATTAATTTTAAGGTATAGATTTGACGAGCTAGCAAAAAAGATGGTCCTAGGCTACCACAAATCAGATGTTTTAGGTATTGAAATATCAGCCATTCGAGGTCATTCTTCCTAACTTCGAAGAACAAGGAAAATGCAATTCTACCAATGTCAAAGACATTTCATTTAATATGTTTAAGATACCTTTTGACTAGCTATTCTAGATGACTGGCTAAAATTCACCTTACCGTTTTTTTCCCAGGTACGAGGCAAACGCTAAAAAGAATTCTGCATTCAAATAGATTCAGGCATACTTAAAAGGGAGAAAGATATGAGTGTGCAATTATACAAGTACAAACCAAATGCGTAATACCAAACAAATTAGATTAACAAAATGAGCAAGTAATACCATGAGCATAAATCCTAACCGATCCACAGGCATAACAGGCCAATCTTCCAAGCGAGGAATATGCGTGAGTCCAAATACATACCTAAATTGAAAGCACAAAAAAAGCAATCCAATGTTAAACATGTACTTCTCTGCGTTAAATCATAGTACCGGCCAAAAAACTCCGGAGAATATAGAGAGAATTAGCAAAACTTCCAAGGCCACGGAAGATCAACGGGGTTCAACAATCCCATACACTAACATAATATTGGACATTGGAAATACAATTTTAAAGAGAAAATGACATAGTTGGGAGATAAAATTACAGAAAGCTTAACTGAGTGTCTTAAGAATAAATTTTAAGAAGAATGTCCATCAAAATTAGAAAGGAGTAGAAAAATGATTACATCAAAAAGACTAAAGCTTTACCACTATTGATGATAAGGAATGAAAAACATACTTAGTTATTTAACATGTACAATCGAGACTAGAAAATGCATCATTTCATTTCTGGATAAAACTTTAAAAAATAAGAAAGAAAATGATAGATCAGAAATAATAAACCTAGAAGCAATGCGAAATGATTTATGCAAATTATAATTAACATCTTATACGACACTCAATAGAAATAAATTGAGAATGTGAATGCATAAAGGCTCCCCAATAACTTCGGATAATACTAATGATAATGATGATGAAATTGTAAATTTAATTGACACTAATTAAATGGTCAAGCCCTTACATATTAATCATAAACTAATGGCTTATTCACAAAGCAGTTATGCAAAATAAGTGGTCGGATACCTCAGTTTCCACACCACTTTCAACTGCCAATGTCAAGAAGGGTCATTTTGTCAAATACCATAGCATTATGAGAAAGGGAAAAGATCTAGGCTTTGAGCAGGAACAATAATAACAAGATCTGGGTGAATCTGACAAGGTGGAGGCAATCAACTGCATGTATTTGAGAAAGTGAAGGTTGGAAGGCAAAGGAAATGATGTTGATCGGGCAAGATCTGGCATCACAAAAGGCTTGTAGATGGTTTGGCTCAGGAAGTTCCGGACAACTCAAAGGATTCAAGCAACAAAGTTGGTATGGAAATCAAAACCTCGGTTACTTCTGTTAATGAAAATAAATTCAAAGTTTTAGATGGGTTGATTGAGGAACGGGAGACTACTATCCCAGAGGAAGATGTTGCTGCCTCTCCAGGTGGCTTGAATGGTAATATTACAATGGGAGAAGGAAGCTTAAACATAAATATAGAGGAAATAAATGCAGATTTGGGATGCGAGGAAGATGGTTCTTCTAATGTTAAGAAAAGGGGTTCTAAGCAACTTAAAGGTTTGGGGCCTATAAACTTGGCTCCTAGGAGTAGGAGAGTGGATGGTGATAAAATGGGGATTTCATCCCCTCATATCCAATAATGTCTTTCATAGCTTTTTGAAATTGTAGAGGAGCTAGAAAGAAGAAAGATTCTCTATATTTGAAGGAGGTTGTGAAGGTTCATGGTGTATTTTTTCTTGGTTTGTTGGAAACCAAAATATCTAATATTGAAATGAGGGATGTTGATTTATTAATTGGTTCATATTGGGAAATTTTCCAAGTTTCTTCAAAAGGTTTGTCTAGGGGTATTCTGTTGATATGGAAGTCTAGCATTGCTAAGTTTCAAGTTTTGGAATCATCACACAAATTTGTTATTGGTGATTTGGAGGTTCCTAACAAAGGGAGATCGAGAATTGCTTCAATATATGTAAATAAGGATGTCTATAAAAGGAGGAAACTTTGGGAGAGGCTGGAATTCTACTCCTCCAAGGATTTGTCTGTGGTAATAGGAGGAGATTTTAATTGTATACTTTCCAAGGAAAACAAGAGGGGAGTGAAAAGATTTACCTTTTCTCTAGGACCTAATTATCTTGTAATGATTTTCATGAGATTGGGTATGTTGGACCAAGATTTACTTGGTGTAATAACAAATCGGGGGCTGATCAGATCCATGAAAGATTGGATAGATGCTTTTTGAATTCAGCTGCCCTTAATTCCAATCTTTGGCTTCGGCTAGAAGAATTTCTAATTACATTGTCAAAATCAAAGATGAGAATGGGGATATGGTGGAAGTTCAACATAAAATTGAAGAAATATTGGTTCAGTTTTTCAAAGACAAATGGAAAGACAAAAATTGTCTTCTTGAAGGTTGGTCACACCCATAGAAGAGTTTAGATGAAGATAATAGAAATTTGTTGAACAAAGCATTCTCCATTGAAGAAGTGGAAGCGGTGATCGAGCAAAAGTGGTAATTACACCGCTCCAGGTAATGATGGTATTACCTACTCTTTTATGAAAGCCTATCGGGACAACATCAAAAAAGACTTTTGAATGCTGTTAATTATTTCTTTGAGACGGCAGATATGGATCCTAATTGGAAAGATACTCTTATTGTTTTAATTCCTAAGGTGAGCAACCCGTTGGCTCCAACCAATTTTAGGCCCATTAGTTTGTGCAACACTGTTTACAAGGTGGAAGCAAAGGTTCTTATGAACAGGATGCAATGTTTAAAATTGCGTATTCGGGTATTGAGGTGTTTTTCATTTGTGAGGCGAGGTGTAAGCCTCAAGGCGTTTTGAGACGTAAGCCTCAAAATCAAAAGATTGCGTAAACATAAAATGATAAATTTTTTATATACTAATGCGTGAATAATATAAAACATAAAAAAGCATAAGAAATGAAGTGAAATCAAAATATCTCAATAATAAGACAACATGAAATATAGTTCAACTCAAAATTCTATCTTTCCCAAATCCCAGTATTCTTTTCATTAACATATAATTCCAATTTCCAAAAATAAATAGCAATAACATATCACATAAGAACTCATAAGTCATCAGCAATCATCACTAAGGGGTTCTTCATTTGAATCATCATTATGGTGAACTGCTCTCTCCCCTTCCTCCCCGATAGAGTCCAATGTCGGGTATTTACTTCAAGATTTATGTAAGTTTTAATATATATAGCGTGAGGCGTAAGCCTCATGCCAGCGAGGCGAGGCGGGCCTCAATCAAGTTGAGGCGCAAGCTTCATTAAAAAAACTCGAGGCGTAAGCATCGAGGCGTTTTTTACTGGAATTGCGCAAAGGCGGGCCTCAAGGCGAGCCTCATATTGCGCAATTTTAAACCATGACAGGATGTCTTCAATTATTCCTAGATTGATTTTCGAAGAGCAAGTAGCATTCTTGAAAGGAAGATCCTTGACTAATCATGTATTGGTAGCTCAAGAGATTATTCATAAATTCAGGTACTCTAAATCCTCCAAAGGTTTTGTTTCACTCAAAATAGACATGGAACAGGCTTATGATTCAATGGGGTGGCAACCTCTAGTGAAAGTTTTGGATTATTTCAAATTCCCATCTAAGTTCTCTAAGCTTATTTTGGAGTGTGTCCAAGGATCAAGATTCTCTATTTTGATTAATGGAAATCCCTCGAGTTAGATTAATGCTAGAACTGGCTTCCGACAAGGTTGTCCCTTGTCTCCATATTTATTTATTCTTTGTTCCCAACTTTTATCTAATACATTTAGGCAAAAAGGAGATTCTATTGGAGTTCGTGTGAGTTCAAATGGGCCAAGGATTTCCCACTTATTGTATGCAGATGATGTAATTATATTTTCTGAAGCCAAATTGAAGATAGTTAAGGAGATTAGGGCGATTTTGGATAAATTCTATCGATGGACCGGACAAAAAGTAAATATCTACAAATCATGCTTGCTCTTTGGTAAAACAGTAGATAGAAGAAATAAGAAAGCCATCTCTTGGATTATGGGGTTCAAAATTGTTAAAGAGCTGTCTTATCTTGGGGAAAAATTAGCTCTTAGAAGGTTAGTAGGAGATAATTTGATGCTATCAAATATTTCTGTAATTTTATTTTTATTGAACAATAGTATGTTTTATGTTCTTTTTTTTTAGCTATCTAATGATGGGAAAGCATCCAATGAACATGGTAGGTTGTGCATGGGGCTTGGTAGACCTTTGGTTTGCTGGCTCGATTGGTCCTTGGCTGCTGCTGGTTCACGGGTTGGCTGTTTTGGGGCATATGGTGATGGTTGGAGTTGAGCTCATTCTCTTAAGTTGCTTGAGTTGAAGTTTTGTAGCTCATTAATGTTCTAAAGGTAAGCTCATTAAGTTGGATTCAATTTTGGAGTGGGCTTGTCCCTTCTCCTTCCCCTTTCTTCTTGTCTCTTGGAAAACCGTGGCTTATTATTTTGTGCTGGCTGAATTCCATGCCTTGGTTGCTGATTCCGAGCATTATTTACTTGGTTCCCACGTTGGCTGTTGGTTTTCCGAGCTGGGGGTTTTCCCGTGGCTTTTGATGCCTCGGTTCCATGTGGTTCCTTTGGTTGCTCCTTCGGTTCCTGAGCCGGGCTATTTTCCGTGAAAAGCAAATGGGGAAATTCCATAATTTGATGCTTGGGTTCTTGTGGAAATTAATTAAAGTGGCTGTTGATATTCTTCTATCTTGCCTATAAATATAAGAAGTTTTTGTGAAGAAGGGAGTTGATTATTGTGAGCAAATTTGCTATTAACCTACGAGTTATTGGAAAAGCTTGCGAGCTTGTTCCATTCTTCTTCTCATCCCCTCTAGAAATCTTGCGAGCTCTTTCCACCCTTCGTCTTGGCTTTTAACCTCTTTCGTCTCTCCGCAAGTTCCACTCCATCTGTATCCTTCTTCTTGAGCTTTGGTGGTGATTGTTGGTTGATTTGGAAGCATCTCTTGGAAGAATTGAACGATCTTGCAGTGGTGGACCATCGGTTTGCTAGCCCTATGCACTTATCTTATTTAACCTACAATTCGATGCATGTGAGGAACCCGCTCTGACGGTTGTCTGAAGATAGCATTGTTTTTTTATTTTCTTTGTTTCTTAAAAAGTCACTTTGTGTTTTCTTGTTGGATTTTGAGTGTTTTAGTTGACTACTTCTATTTTAATAGAATCTGGTTTGAGTTATATCCATTGTTCTCTTTGTATCAGTTTTCTTGCACTTGTGCTTACATCATAATTTCAATTGCATTGTTGAAAAACATTGAAGATGATTAACATTGGGGGAGGAAAGCTGATTTCTTTAGCTGGTAAAATCATGCTTATCAAAACTGTTTTTCTTTCATACACAACATTCCACTACACCAATTCTTTGATTCCCAAAGGTGTTCTTGATGAAGTTGATAAACTTTGTGGAAATTTTATTTGGAATAAAGCAAATGGAAGATATGGAATTCACTATGTGAATTGGAATGTAATGTGCTTGCCTTTGAAATGGAGAGGTAGAGCTCTACATTCTTGTTCCAATAAAGTTGGACCTTTAAGAGCTAAGATTGCTTGGAAGTATGTTCAAGAGAAAGATTCATTGCTACATAAGGTGTATTATCTGAAATATGGAGGACTGTTTGGGGATGGCTCGGTGAAGAAAATAATCTCTGATGGAGGTAATTCTTTAAAGCCAATCATTAGATGGACAATTGTGAATGGAGAGTCAATTGAAGTACTAAATGACACCTGGGCATTGGACAAAAGTCTTAGTAGATGGCCTAATTTCATTACTCACGATCTCAGTAATTTCATGGAGATAAATTCATTGTAGATGGCTGCTGGAATGTGGAAGAAATTAGCAAGTATATGGGTTCAGAACTTGCGAAACTAATATGCCAAATCCAAATACATTCTAAAACGGGAAAAGATAGGCTGGAATTACTTTTGCAAATATATGGAAAGTCCATCTCTTCCCTTGCGTTTGAAGCTTCGGTCAGCAAACTGCTCAGTTCTGGAATTGGATTAGAAAGATTAATTTGAACCCACGTGTGGAGGTTATTATGGTGGAGAATTTTTAACAATGCTTTTCCTACTTATCAATTTTTATCTTATAGGAGATTGCAAAGGGATTTTAGCTGTCCTAGGAGCTGTAATGAAGACGAAAATAATGAGCATGTTGCTGTTAAGTGTAAAAAACTGCTGGATGTTCTACAACACATTAATAGGTGGGGATTTTTTATTCCAGCTTTTACATCACTTGATGAATGTTGCAATTGGTTGTCCAAACAAAATTCTTTTTTGGCAAATTTGCATTGCAATGTGGTATTCTTCTCTTGGAAATCGAGAAACAACTTGATTCATAAAGGAAATGAGGATAGCTCATTATCCATTGTTGCTAATGTAGTGAGCTATGCTTCTTTTTCTGCTTATGGTGCTAGTAGAAGCTCGTGTATTTGGGGTGCTAACCAGTCGTCTAGGCTGTCTAATTTGCATTGGCATCCTCCACCAGATTGGATTAAGGTTAATGTTGATGCTGCATTACATCCATCTTATAAAGCTGGAGTAGGAGGGGTATTTCGTGATCACAAAGGAAGATTTCTTTTCTCCTTTCGGAAGTCTTGTATTCATTGGGATGTATCATCATTGGAGCTTTTTGCCACTCATGCTTTCAAGGAGTTGATCAAAGATTGGATGTACAAATATAAGGGAATTATCATAGAAGGGGACAATGCTAATATTATCAAGTTTCTTCAAGAGGCAAAATCAAGTGGTAATTCGAAGTTGGAAGCTCTTCACTCTATCAAGGAATTCAATCATGTAATTTTTAATTGTATAGATAGAAGTGGTAATAAGTTAGAAGACTGATGTGCTAACTATGCTCTTCTTAGCTCTTTTAATTGGGATGATATTAGTGTGAATAAGGTTCCTCCGTCTTTTATGTCTTTGTTAAAGGAGGAATGTAATGTTCTTAGTTTGTAGTTTATTTTTCCTTCTTATTATTTAATGCAATTTGTTGTATTTTCTTCCAAAAAAAAAGAACATTAAATCAAGCAACTGCTCATTTGTTAATGATGTATGCAAAGGGGGGGTCAACACAAGCATTGGCTGTTTCGGTTTGAGCTTATGAAGTTAAACTTTAGTTGTGCCAAGCTCATTAATTTCTAGTGGAGAAGTAGCTCATTATGAGCTGATGTCTTGCTATAAAATTGCATCAGTTAAGGACAGAAATTGATGCAACAGCTAGGTTGCACCATGGTGAACAATCTAAAAGAATCTGTAATATAAGGGTATCTGTGCCAAAAGAAAAAAAAAACTTAAATATAACAATTTTAAATGCCTGCACACAAGGTATGCTGTTTAAGAAGTCTTTAGTTTGATGCATGATCAGGCAGAGCAGTCAATTAAAAAAAAAAAAAAAAAGGACAATCCGAATACAGAAATAGCAACAAACCCTTAGATGCATGAGTTGAATGATTTGAAGTTATTCAATACAACACATTCTTATTCGGCCTGGGGGTGGGGGGACAAAACTAAAATTACATTGTTCATAGGACTAATGGACTCTGAACTAAATTAAAATGTTCTTCATATAGCCTAAAAACTCAAAACTTATACAGATACTACACTAAAAAGTCACTGTTTCAGTAAATAAGAAAAAACAGACTATAATATTACAAATGAAATGACGAGCATACAAATGAAATGACCTGCACACGGCTTTCATGGATCAAGTACACTTTCACAAATATACGACATATGTTTATAATAAGCTTTTACAGCTTACTAGTTCAAAATATTATATAAAATGCATCGGAACAGTTTTAATAAATAGCATTTACCTTAAATGCAATTCTGAATAATTTACAGCAAAAAAGGCAATTGAAATAAGCAATGCCTTCTCTCTCACTTGTTGGCTCTTTTGAACTAAATAAAAAAATGGTAACAAGCCACAAAGCCGTGAGACTGTTCAACAAGGATTACTAAGGAAAATACTAGTTCAGCATAAAATATATCAATTTGCATCATAAAAGAACTGTATTAATCATGCAAAACGAAAATAAAATATGCATTTGCACAAGGTTGAAAACTGTCTTTGCAAAACAAAATTAGATAAACTAACCAAAGAACAACGTCTGTTTCCTCAAGAGACCTATTCTTCCTAACCCAAGTAGCCAGTCCCTCGTTCATACGTGGATTTTGATTGGGAAACTCCCCTCCAGGGTACATTTCATCACGGCTGTATGGTGTGACCCAAAGATTATGCTTAAGAAAGGCAGCTCGTCTCAAAAACTTAGCCTCGTTCCCAGCTAATGGAAGACAATTTGAACCAGGTAGGAGCTTGTAGCCAGTGAATTGACCAGTTCGATTGACAGTTCTGGTGTTCCTCACCTAAGCATATGTAATCAAACATGTTTAGATCAAAATTTTTGACAGTCTATGATCAAGATCAAAATGCAGCAACTATAGCACAAAAATATTATTCCCAGTAACCATTGTATTCACTTCATAGAGGGATAAGAAATAGCAATGTTAGTCAGAGAACAAGAAGTAAACTGTAAAAGAGCAATCATCAGGTTTTATTGCAAGTATAAATATTATTGCTCCATCATTCATAGCATAAATATTGCAATTGGCACGCCAATCATCTTCCCTATTTCTAACTAAAGAGAATTGAAGTAAAATAATGAAGGTGATAAAAGGATGAAAGGTTACAATCACAAAATATGCTTGACATGAAATCTATAATGTTTGTGAGGTTGATCGATAGCAGGAAAGAGTAGACAGGGCTTTTAAGAAAGAGAGACCCGACAACATAAGAGTACATAAGAAGTAAAAATCAAAATAAAAATAAAAAAAATTTCAATCTTAAAATGAAAATAAAAAATTTTAGCAAACCAAAATAAATCAATATTTGACACAACCCGAAACAAGATGCAAAACATTCCGGGTTCGGATCAACCTGTTTTGCAAGCGGGTCGGGCTTGGGCTTCATTTTCTAACCCATTTTGAATTTAGGGTCGAGTTCGGGTCAACCCGAAACTGACCCGGTTCATCCTCTCACCCGCAACAATCCCGCACTCACGCCAGAAGCGATCCCCCGCGCCCGAGCCAAGCCTGCACCTGGGTCTGCACCTATGCCCGCAATTGCCTGCTCTCGCCTTGTTCGCACACGCGCTCGTGCCTACACTTGCTCACGCCTCGCTGCATTGCAGGTCGGGATGGGTTAACCCTGGTTAGAGTTGGATTGGGTCCGGGTTTAGATTTTTGAACCATTTGCCTAATTAGGATGGGGTTTGAGTTGAGTCAATTGATGACATGTCAATTTCAAGTTGGACCTGAACCCGACCCGAAAACCCATTTTGGCACCCATAGTCCAAATTTTAAAGTAATATGTTGTCTAATCTTCAAGTGACATCAAAATCACATTCCAACTAACATTTCCAGTATAGATACTTATGACTTTATAGTGAATATTAAGTTGATAAAAAAATAATGACTTTATAGTGAATAGGAAAAATTTTGGAAATTAGCAAAAATGCCTTAATATTTTGATAAATTCTCCAGCAATAAGTTATTAAGTCATCTATCATCCCAATTATCTTAAAGTAATATTTTGTCAAAATCTTCTTGTGACATCAAAATCACATTCCAAATAACATTTCCAGCGGAGATGCTTCTGACTTCACAGTGAATATTCAAAATTTTAAAAATCCACAAAAATGCATTAATATTTTAATAAATACCCCAAACCAATATAATGATAGCCTATGATGCACCGACACTTCTCCTTAAATAAGCGTACAGTGACCGACACGTATCCAGCACGACATGAGTTTGAAATGTCTCTGTCACATGTCGAACGCACCAAAAACGTATCAGATTAAAAAATATTAAATACAAATTTAACACACGTGTCTTAACTATTTAATATTTTTTAAAATATAATTTCTTATATTTAAAATTATTATTTATTTAAAATCTAAAAAATAACTTTCTTATTTTTTATCCACAACACCAAATCAATCGCCCGCACTCAACACCTCATTCATCGAATATTCTCATATTCATTTCTCTTTGGCGGGTCGTGACTTTGATTTCACAACAATGTCTGATGTTATCTCAACATCGAAGTCTAGCATCGTTACAACATCAATATTTCAAAATCATCTTCACGTCAAAGTTTAACACTATCTTGACTTTGATGATCGACGCTAGCAATTTTTACATGCACAACTAAATAGCTCATCAATGTTCGACGTCGTCTTAACATTGATGACCAACGCCCTCTAAATATTGATGACAGACGGCCTCTTGACATCGAAATCCTAATATTAATAATTTTAATGACACTTCCCAGATAAATTACTTATTATTTCTAAATTCTTTTTAATATTATACTTAATTTTCATACACTATTTTAAATAAATAAAATTATAACACAATGTTTAACCCACGTCCATGTCCTATATTTTCAATATTTGATGTGACCCATGTTCGTGCCGTCTTGTCCTTGTCTGTGCATCATAGATGATAGAAAACTGAATAATTTTGGAAGCTTGAAACCAAAGTTCTAAGTTTAGAGGCACCAAAATTGTTCTCCTTTTCAACTGATAATGAAGGTGAAAGTTGATGGACGATAATGATTGCAAAGTATGGGTGGTATCATACAGATTGTGAAAAACCAATTTGACAAAGAGATCACAATGTTGAAGTGTTTAGAGACTTAAAGGTGGCAAAGGCAATTGGAGAGTTGATGCAGCATACAAAGGCGATGCAAAAGCTAGAACAACTTGTTAGACCGGTCCAGCCGGTCAGCACGAGACCGGCAAAGTCGCGAAACAGGTGGGATCTCCACCTCCTGCGGAGATCGGGCGGGCCGAGCGTTCAAACAGAGCATTTTAGGAATGATTTTTGGGGGTTTAAGAGAGAAATTTGAATGTAGGGACTGTTTAGGATTTCCTTTTGATTTGTATGCATTAAATAGTTGATTTTCCTAGGGTTTGAGTATCTGGAATTTGGCTGAAATTTGAGATCTCTTAGATTTAGGTTTCTTTGGGCTCTTGGGAGACATCGATCCTCCTCTCGAATTGAGGATCAATTGTATCTTTGTTGTTTTATTCATCGACTAGTGGAATACAAGTTTTTCTTTGAGTTTTCTCTCAGATTTCCTTGTGGTTTTGCTGTTTTCTGCTGTGGACAGCAGTTTTGCTGTTGAATTTTCACTGGTTTGGGTTAGGATT